CTCAAAGTCCAGTGAGTGTTCTTTCTACTATAAGACACATTGCTCTGAGCTTCTCCTTTCTCCTTTTTCCTTTCCTACTTTTCTTTGTCAAGTCCTTGCAGACACTCAGTCACTAAGGCCCCCCTCATCTTGCCCTTCCCTCCATCCTCCCTGCCCCCAAAGAAGAACACCAGGGGAGGTGGGGGGAGGGAGGTAAGGGTGAGGAGGAGCTGAGCAATCTTAGATGGTCCTCAATTCAAAAGCCCAGGCCTTCCCTCTCCTCTTCCCTTCCCTGGCTGCCTCTGACCCTGCCTGGGGGAGGGGGGCCCCCAGCCCCAGCCTCAGTGATAGTAGAACAATTTAGGGAACAATTCTGATTAAAGTAAAAAAAAAGAAAAACCAAGCCAACAGCCCAAGTCGGGCCAGAAACCAGGGCCTCGGACCATTGGAGCTGGCTTATCTTTTTCCCTGAGACTCCTGGAGAGGCAGACTGTCTCCAGCCTGGGCTGAGTAAATGCTGATAAAGAGGACAAAACTCTGCGTGTTTATGATGGGTGGTATCTCTGGGGAGCGGATCCTCATGTGGAGCGAGCTCAGCTGCATCCTCCCTGTTATTGAAACAGTGTCTGTCTTCCTCGATAGCATCTCATTCCTGTGCCATAACAGCCCAAGAGATTTGGGTTGGGGGTGGGGGTTGGACAGAAGAAGAAATATTATAGCAGTCAGCCTTGTGTATTACAACACAGTACAACAAACATTTATCACTAGCTCTGGAGTCAGAGGTCCTGGATTCAAATTCTCCCTTCTGACCCCTACCTATGTGACTATGGGCAAGCCCCTTAACCTCACTCAGCCTTTAAAATGAGGGGGTTGGATTAGGTGGTCTTTGAAGTCACTTGTAACTCTAAGGCTGTCCTATGATTCTGATTGCCTGCTGTGCACAGAGCATGGTGCAAGGCTGGGGATGGGAACCGGGAGGGGGCAATATGAAGATCAGATAAGACACTATCTGGGCCCTCAAGGGGTTTACAATCCAGTCAACCCTTTATTGGGAGACCAATACCTGAAAAACTAGAGAAGAAATTTCAATGCATAGTACAAAAAACTTTTCTGAAGAACGCCATCTGATTTGATGGGGCAGCTAGGAAGCCTAGTAGATAGAGCTCTGGACTTGGAGTCAGGAAGACCTGAGTTCAAATCCAGCTCCAAACATTTACTAGCTGTACAGTTCTGGGCAAGTCACTTAATATCTGTCTGCCTTAGTTTTCCTCATCTGTAAAATGGGAATAACAACAGCCCCTATCTCCCAGGGTTGTTGTGAAGATCAAATGAGATAATATTTGTAAAGAACTTGCAGTGCCTGGTACATAGTAGGAGCTTAATAAATGTGTAAACATCAAACATCTATTTATTCACTCTAATGCTCATGTATTCCTCCACAGTGAGGGGAGCAGGCCACGTTAGATAATGAACTGGCTTCCTGGTCAGTAATGCCCCATTCAGGTTCTATGCTTGAGTCAGGTAGGCCCTGTGACCTTTAGCCTCTCAGGTCCTCCTGTTGACTTTAAGACAGTGGAAAGAAACTTAAATGTAGTGGAAAGGACACTGGCTCTGTCTGGAGCCAGGGGACCCAGGGTTTTAATCCTGCCTCTGAAGCTTACTCCTTTGTGATTCTGGGCACACTACTTAACCTTATTGGGCCTCTGTTTCCTCATCTACAAAATGAGGGGGTGATTTAGATGGCTTCTGAGGTCCCTGGTTGTCCCCCATTCTTGGAATCTTCTTCCACCTCAACTGCCCTGATGGGCTTCCCCGGCTTCCTTTAAGTTTCAATAGGAGGCCTTTCCTACTCACTCTCGATTCCAATGCCAAGCCTCCATTAATTATTTCCTAATTATCCTGTATATAGCTTGTTCGTACATCTTTGTTGTCTCCTCTATTAGATTATGAGCTTCTTGAGGGCAGGGACTGTCTTTCCCCTCTTTTTGTATCCCCAATACTTAGCACAGCATGTGGCACAAAGTAGACACTTAATGTTTATTGATTGACTGATACAGTATTGTTCAGTCATGTCCCTCTCTTTGTGAACCCGTTTGAGGTTTTCTTCGCAGAGATACTGGAGTGGTTTGCCATTTCCTTCTTCAGCTTATTTTACAGATGAGGAAACTGAGGCAAACAGGGTCAAGTGACTTGCCCAGGGTCATACAGATTTGAACTTAAGAAGATGAATCGTCATGATTCCTGGCCCAGCACTCTATCCATTGTGCCACCTAGCTTCCCCTATCATATAGCGATGATCCTAAATTGTAGCTATGCTGTGGAAGAGGGAGGTTTCCACACTGGGTATTGCCTAAATTAATGCTATCAGAGGTCAGGACCAAAAAATAAATGCCTGTACCACTTTAAACTGTGCTTGACTTCGGATTAATCCAAGCTGCCTCCTTAGAACTCTAAGTGACTGCATGGAACCAGGTGCCCTCAAGTTGAGAACAAATTGCTTTAGACCTGTGTCATAGCTAGACAGGAGCACATGGGAGAATCGTAGCTGCTTAAAGCTTAGAAGATCAGTTAGGTCAAGCCCCTAATTTTTTTCTTAACTTTAACATTTTTGCTTTTTAGTGATAGCTTTTATTTTATTTTATTATTTTTTTTTACAACATCTCCATTTTTCCTCTGCCCGGGAACCATCTCTTGTAACAAAGAAGGGAAAAAAACACATTAGCCAAACTAAACAATGCATCAATGGAGTTTGACAGCATATACATGGTTCTACACCCATAGCCCCCCACCTCTGAAGGTGAATTTTTCTCATCTCTTTTCCTTGGGTCAAGCCCACATCATTAGGTTTCACCAAACCCTCTTCAGCTTGTGGGTTCCAAAACCAAATCCAATCAAAATGTGGAATCCAAAATCAAGAGGGGAAAAATGACTTGTCTAAGGTCTCACAGCCAATTAGTATCAAAGCCTGGGCTACAGTGAAGGTTTTCCAACTCCTAATCCAGTGATTTTCACTATGTCATTATGTCAGAAAAATCTTTTCTCTTCCTCATGTGCTATGATGCAAAAGTCTTTAGAGTGCCATCAGTTCCAGTTTCCAAAGGGGTATTAAAGGTTTTAACAAAGAACCAGGTAGGCTGTTTATTATTGCTTAAAGCAATAACATTTATTATAACAAGTTTTAACTCTCCGAAGGAAGGCATAAATACTAATTTGGGAAAGTCAAAGGCTGGACCATGGGAGAATAGGGGTTTATGTCAAAGGATGCCACTGGGTCAATCACTCTAGAAGAAAAGATACAACTGGTTCTCAGTTATCACAGGAGTCAGTCATCTGAGCCTTGCATCCAAAGGCATATGTCTTAGGTATCTTAGGTATATGTTTCTTTTCTGCCTCATCAAGGTAGTAAGTAGCTAGAGACCGCATACATTCTCCTTTTCCCATTTTAAAAAATAATATTTTATTTTTTTCCAATTATATATAAAGACAATTTTAATATTTATTTTTAAATAAAATTTTGAGTTTCAAATTTTCTGCCTCTCTTTCTTCTTTCTTCCTTAAGCAATTTGATATAGCTTATATATGTGCAATCATGTAAACCATTTCCATATTAGTCACATTGTGAAAGACAGAACAAAAGGCAAAAACTACAAAAAGCGAAAATAGTATGCTTCAATCTGCCTTCAGACTCCACCAGTTCTTTTATGGTGGTAGATAGCATTTTCCAGCTTGAGTCTTTTAGAATTGTCTTGCATCATTGCATTGCTGAGAAGGGCTAAGTCATCCATAGCTGATCATCGCACAATGTTGCTGTTACTGTGTATAGTGTTCTCCTGGTTCTGTTCACTTTACTCAGCATCAGTTCATGTTAGTCTTTCCAGGGTTTTCTGCTTTTCCCATGTTTTCTATGGAGACTTGGTTTCAGTTAAGGTAATCAAAGAACTACTATAAAGTTGGTCATTTAGTCCAATCCCTTCATTTTACAGATGAGGAAACCGAGGTCTAGGGGTGTTAATGGTCTTGCCTGAGGATACCTGCTTGTAGTTATGATAAGAAAGCAGAAGAAGTACTTTGGGAAAAGGTAGAGGGTATACAGGCTTTTCTGCTCCCTGGAGAATAGCGGTTCCAAAGGACATATTTGAAGGGGCTAAGAAGAGGGTGGAATGGGCTGGAGTGGGTTTGGGAGGAGACAGAGTTAAACTGGATAACAATAGAATAACCCAGGAGGCAGAGGAAAGAACGAGCTTACATCTAGGATCTAATTCTGACTGATAGAGATTAGAGAAACAGAAAATTGAGAGGTAGACTGGAAAGGCATATAATTAATAGTGGACTAGAAGGTAGGGTGGGGAGGGTAGAGTGTGAATTGATACAATTCAGTTGTGTAAGTAATCAGTCCTATGGTTCAAGGTGGAATTTGGGTGTATTACTAGAATCGCAGTGGAGGACTGCCCTTTCATAGATCACTTGGTGTGGATTTCAAGCTAGAAAGGCCTTTGGGGATAAAAAGAAAAGAATTAAGCTAGATCATCTCTAATGTCCCTTCCATACGTAGGTCCTATGAAACCCAGCCACATCATTTAATCCACCACCACCACCCCCCTCCCTCCATTTTACAGATGAAAAAACAGAGAGATGAAGTGACTTTCCCAAGATGGCATAGGTAATATGGAGAAAGGCCAGAAGTGAAATCTACATCTTTCAAATCAGTTTGTGTCTGAATAGAAAACTGAGGCTTGTTTTGGGATGCCTTTGTGGAAAGAAGAGCCTGGAGGCTGTGCTTCTAGTCCCAGCTTTTCAACTAACTTATTGTTTTTACTTTAGCCAAATCACAACACTCAAAGTGCCAGTTTCCTCATCCATATATAACCGCAGCTGGGCTGGTAAGCAGGCAAAGCTGTCAGTCACGTTATTCTCTCTTCTTCACTTTTTTTCTGGGCTGGACTACTCCCTTGGGGTGTAACTTTCTTTCTAGTTACCCCCCCATGGGAGTGGTTTCCTTTCAAACCAGGCTGTGGGTAATGGTAGATTCCTGACTCATTCAGCTAATTGGCTTTCCTCAGTGTTCTTGACTCATTTTGATGCCCAGGGAAACCATGGTGAGTACATTTTCTTTGCCTGGGGAGGAGTGTGTGTGTGTGTGTGTGTGTGTGTGTGTGTGTGTGTGTGTGTGTGTGTGTTAATGATAAATCAATCACTTTTTCCTTTGGCTCTGAGCCCCCAGCCAGAAATCTCCCTCTGGCAGATGCAGTAATTTTAAATCTCTCTACTCTGCCATGTCTTTCTCAGTTGCCCCTTGAAAGATACATTGAAATAAAAGCGCATACACAATTTAGCAGTTCAGTTGATCAACAGCTTTATACTATTTTCTACCTTAAGAAACAAAGTAAACTTTTAAACACAAGGGTAAGCCACTTCCTAAACATCAGAAAACTAGCAGGTTCAAAGGCAGTCCATTTCCCTGTCATGAGAAAGAGGGAAAGAGGAAGGGAAATGGACATGCACTACATATGCTTCATCCATCCCATCTTGGCATCAGTAGCCCCTGTTGCTGGTGGCCTACTTATTCTCTACTCTTTATGATGGCAGCTTCTCTACTTCCGTTTCTTTCACTCCACATGATTCTCTGGCTTCTTATATCCCTAAATCCAAAAGGTGGTAGAGGCCAACCAGTAGTTGCCTCCTTGCAAGTTTCTTTAATCACAGGGCTCTTGTGGCTACCCAAACACCCATTACACATAAAATAAATGTAACATCTACCCGACCAGGGGTATTGTAAAAACAAACAAACAAAAAAGATATTAACGCCACCGACTCACGCAACTATCAATTACCATTGGAGAAGAATGTGAAAACCTGAATCGCTGTTTCATTATTAAAAAGAATTGTATAACTTCCTCTTTCTCTTCTATCCCAAAAGAATTCAATATATGGATTTTAAAAGCATTTGCTGAATTTCTATGATATAGAAGACATTGTACTAGGTTATACAAAGACAAAAATTAAACAATCCCTGCTCTCAAGGAGCTTATATTCTGGTGTGGATAGACAATATCTATATAGATAAGTCAATACATAGTACATGCCAAATAATGGAGTGGGTGAAGTAAGAGGAGGAAAGAGAGACGTGAAGGAATGAAGAAAGGTCTGGTACAGAATATTCCTCTTGAACAGTGACCGAAGTAGTGAGCAGAATGAAGGTAAAGGGCAGATTGTCAGATTTTTTTCGTGTGGGCATTTATGCCTCAGAAACAGGCAAATGCAGCAAACCAGGGCTTGATTTATCATTTTGTTGATTGTCTAGACTTAAGAAAGAGAAGGAGAAAGTGTTGATAATGAAGATTAAACCAAAAAGTGTATCATGAGCATATTTACTTCACCCGCACCCCCCTCCAGAGAACTCATTGTTAAAAGCTACCAGCACACCACTGATTTCAGACCTGAGGACCTCCTGGGCAAAGACACAGAGACCTTGAGGGGAAAGTTCATGAATGGGGGAATGGATAGAAGACCAGTCTGACCGGAATAGAGAATATGGAAAACATTGTGAAAGACTACTGGAAAGGTAAGTGGCAGTCATGGAGAGTCCAACATGACTGAAACAACTGAAAACAAGTGGGAGCCAGATTGGAGAAGACCTTAAATGCCAAGCTAAGGATTTTGTGTTTTACTCTAGAGGTGATAGGAAATCATTGAAAGTATTTGAGCAGGAGGGTGGCATGTTCAAATATATGTTTTAGGAATATCAATTTGACAACTGTGTGGTATGTGGCCTGGAGAGAGAAGAGACTAGAATTGGGAGACCAGATAGGAGGCTATTGCAATAGTCTGGCTAAGAAACGATGAAGGCCTGAACTAGGGAAGTCCAAAGAGTGGAAAGAAGATAGGCATGAGAAATGTTGTGGAGGGAGAATTTATAAGACTTAGTAATTGATTAAATATGGGAATTAAGGGAGAAGAAAGGGTAAAGGATGATGGTGGTGCTTTTGACAGAAAGGGGAAATTTGGGATGGATTTGGGGTGGGGGAGATGTGATTCATCTTTTTTGGACATGGTAAATTTGAGATGTCTATTGGTCATCCAAGTAGATATGTCCATCAGGCAACTGGCAAGTAGGAAGCGGACAAGAGAGACACTAGGGATGGGTATGTAGATTTGGGAGTCATCTATGGAATAATCATAATGGAACCAGAGGGAAGAGGAAAATCTTGCTAAGACTTGAATCCCTTTCCCAATATCTTTAGTACCCTTTCCTCCTACTAGCCTCCCCTAGGATCTTGCTCCAGCAATCTCTCCTCCTCTCTCGTGCATCTATGATCTCTCCCTGTCTACAAACATGTCCTGGCTTCCTTAACCCTAACTAAAACCTCCCCTTGACCCTTCTGCTTGACCCAGCTATTGTACCATCTCTCTCCTCTTCTTCACTCTCAAGCTTTGTTAAAACAATTACATGCATTTTCTCCTCAGCCTCTTGTATTCACGCTACCGTACTGAAATTGTTCTCTCAGGGATCACCAATGACCTAGGAAATGCCAAATCCAATGGTTTTTTTTTTCTGGACTCATCCTTATTAACTTCTCTGCAGTATTTGAAATTGTTGACTAGTCCCTTTCTCTTGGATTCTTTCTTCTCCCTTGGTTTACTGGACACTCCACTCTTCTGGTTCTATCTCCCTAACCATTCTTTCTCTGTCTTTACTGGTTCCTTGTCCTTTTCCCAACCTCTTAAGTAAGGGGTTCCCCAAAGTTCTCCCTTGGAAATTCCATTCATTCCCAAGCCTTTAGTTATCAGCTTTATGCAAATGACTTCCAAAGCTCTGTCTAGAGCTAACCTTTCTCCTGAGGTTCAGACCAGCATCTCAAGTACCCTATAGAACATCTCTACCTGGATGCCCTGCGGGCACCTCAAACTTGACATAGAACTAATTATTTTTCCACTTAAACATTTCCCCTTCTGATCCAATTTTTGGTGGTATTTGGTGTTACATTTGACTCTTTCCTCTTCTCAAACTGAATCAGTCCAGAAATTTTTCTCACTTACATCCAGGGGTGTTCTAGTAAATGTTTAACAACTTGTTCTCTGAAAAAAAAAAGTGCCATATGATACACTCTTCAGTTTAATTTGTATTATTAACATTTTCTCCATCATTTTCTTAAGTCTAGAGTGACAATCAACAGAACAGTCAATCAGAACCTGATTTGTAGCACTTGCTGATTTATGAGATACAAAAGCTTACACAGAAAACTTAATAATCAGGTCTCACTAGCTAGTTTGAACTGGCTCTAACCCATCCCTGCCTGTATCCCACTCCTCTCTGTGACATTTAAAAGATTTGAGAGACATAGATTCTGGGTAATTCATCATTTTATTAATAAAGCTAGCATCTTACCAACAAAATGAGTCAGTTACACTCTCATGCCAAAGACAAATCGTGGCTGTAGGCTCACAGTTTCTATACCCTTGGAAGACTGGGTGGTCTTGAGAGTGGCAATCAACTCTGATTTGTTAACGATTAATGAGAATGAATATTACAATGAGAGCTGGGCCTATTCTAATGAGGGGCTGGGGGAATGTGACTTTGATTATGTCATTTGCTTCTAAATTGGCAATCTAACCAGAGAATTTATCCCTACTCAAACCTTCACCTGGGTGGGGTCTGAACAAGATTGAGGAGAAAGTTAATTCAATCTCATTATCAGCACTGTCCTTCAGAGACTGAACAACCTATAGGCTTCTGAAAAATTTTTGGTCTTAATTCAATAATTAATAATTATTAATATTAATTAACAATTATTAATTGTTTAATTATTAATATCTATTATCACTGCTACCAACCTGGTACAAGTCCTCATTATCTCTTTATCTGGCTATTATAATCACAGAGAGGGCTTCAAATATTGTTCTCTTCTCCCTCTAATCCATGAGTTCTTAATCTCCAAGAGGAGTAGGAATAGCTTTTAGGGAGTCTGTGAACTTGAATAAGAAAAAATATGCATCTTTATTTTCACTAGCTTTTAGTTTCCTTTGTAATTCTATTTTATTTCATACATTCAAAAACATTATTCTGAAAAGGGATCCATAAGATTCACCAGCCACAGGGGTCCATGACACACGTAAAAAGGGTAATACCCTCTAATTTGCCCATTTTTCTTATGCACAGATCTGGTCATGCCACTCCTGTACTCGAGGTCCTTCCCTGGCTCCCTGAGCCATATCTGCCCACTGGACCCAGATGGCTCTGGAGGAGAAAGTGAGGCTGATGACTTTGGACAGCCTTTCCTCACTCAAATCTAATTCAATTGCAAGTCATGTCATCATCTTCCTGATGTTATAGTCCTCTTTGAGAATGAAGGACAAACCACCACCACCGCAATTGTGTCTTGGGTAAAATTCAAACTTCATAGCCTTAAAATGGCATTCAAGGCTTTCCACAATCTTGTTAGCATCTTGCCTGTCTGGCTTTTCTCATGCCAGCTAAGTGGCATAGTGGATAGGAAGATTTGTCTTCTTGAGTTCAAATCCAGACTCAGATACTTACCAGCTATGTGACCCTGGGCAGGTCGCTTTACCCTGTTTGCCTCAGTTTCCTCATCTGTAAAATGAGTAGGAGAAGGAAATGGCAAACCACTCCAATACCTCTGCCAAGAAAACCCCCAATGGGGGCATGAAGAGTTGGATATGACTGAAAAACCACTGAAAGACAACAAATTTTATTGCTTGCCATTCTTTGTATACAGTCCATACTTAACTCTGTTTCTGCTTTGTTAACATGTATCTCTATGTCTTTTGATGACTGTCCTCCAAAAGGTCTCATTGGATGCAGACCTGGAAGGGGGCCAAAGGGATCACCTAGTATAGCCCTCTTATTTTATAGATGTGGAAACCAAGGCCCAAGAGAGGCAAAGTGACTGGTCCAATGTCACAGAGTTAAGTGACATAGCTGGAATTTTAACCCAGATCTTATGACTCTAAAATCCAACTCAAATGCTGCCTTTTCCAGGAAGCTTTTCTTAATTTCTATTCTCAGTTGGTAATTACCTTTCCTCTCAGACCTGATAGCACTTTGCTTGTATATCACATATGCATTTAATTTATATCCATGCATTATTTTTGCATTGCAGTCCTTTACGTATGTGTCATATCTCTCCCTTCCCTCCCCCTGCCCAAGTTCTATGAGTGCAAAGATGGGGTATCTAAATCTTCTAGCTCTTCCAGTTCTTAGGCTCTGAACACAGCAGTTGCTTAGTAAATAAATATTTTCTTAATTGACTTGAACCTTCTCACTCTTATTGCTGCATCATCGTCGTTGTCATCATCATCATCATCATTATCATCATCATCATCATCATCATTGGTGTTGGAAATGGGCTTGCTATGTAATTAGATCCAAGCCTAACAGAGATAACCCAAGGTGTTCCATCTGTTGGTATCCATGGAATGTTACAAAACCTCCCACTGTAGGTGGCTCCATGAAGTATTAATGGGAATGTATAGGTCTGGATTGTTTTGCATGAGTTCCCATATGCACCACACTGATGTGTACAATATATACATCTGTGCAGATGTCTTATCTTCCTTACTAGACTCCAACCTCTTTTGAGTAGGGACCATATCTTATTTATCTTTGAATCCTCTACAGGGTCTTACACATGGTAGGTGCTCATCTGCTATTTGCTGAATTGAATTCAATTGCTTTAGCCCTGGGCCTTGAAATGTTTAGCTGGGCTCGAATGTGGGGAAGCTAAAGAAAGAAATTGTTTTGGTTTTCATTTACAAATGGGCAACAATAATAAAAAAAAAAGAACAAACCCCAAAAAACTAACTAGCTCTGCTTGGGTGGGTTTGTGTTTTGTCAACTTTAGTGCCCCTAAAAATAGCTCAGTGTTCCAACAAATTCCAGGGCTGATCTTGATGACTCAGCAGGCTTAAGGAGTCAGATCTTGTGGGTGTCGGGGGAAGTCTCAGAGAGGCCCAGGATCAGCTAAGAGCTGGGCCACCCTCTAGCTTTGAACAATGCTCAGCTTTAGGGCCAGTCTCCTTGAAGTATGGAAAGAGCAATTACATTTCTTTCCAACTCCTACCACACAGATGCAATGAGGAAGCTGTGGGTTGTGAAGGCTATTCCCCATAATTCTCCTGCTGGGAGTTGGTGGAAGCCAGTGGCCTTTATTACTGCAAACTCATGGCTCTTGGGATGGGGCTATGCCCACATATTCCTAAGAGTCACATATCTGAAAGGGGGGTTTGAGGGGTTGCTTACTTCATCCCCCTGCTTCAGGTTGGGACTACAGTTTCAAATCGTGGGTAGGGTGATACAGGGGGAGTCAGAAGATGTGGGTTCTTGTCCTGGCTTTATCATTGCCTAATTCTGTGATGTTGACCAGTCCATTGACTTTTCTTAGCCTCGGTTTTCTCATATGGTTTGGAAATAGTGCTGAATTTGGAGTCAACAGACCTAAGTTTAAATCCTAACTCTGTGGGATATTTGACTCTCTGGCCTCAGTTTCCCTATCAGTAAAGTGAGGATATTGAACTTGATGAGCTTGAAGTTTCCTTCCTGCTCTAAATCTATGACCCTTTGACCATTGACTTCCAAGGGCTCTTCCAGCTACCCCTTAAGCTATATGATTTGATCTTTGTTTGAAAAATCTCTAAGAGCGGAGATTCCCAAACCTTTCTTCAAAGTTGGTATATTTTTACTTTTGTAAGGAAGTTCCATTTTCTGTCTAACCTAAACATCTAAAACTGTATGCAACAAAATGTTACAATGGTGTAAAAACCCAATTCTTACGCATATTTCTCTAAAATCCTATTTCCTGGAGCATAGCTACCACCCACAGTGAAAGATGGACTCTGCTTCATTATTCTGGAACGGCAGATGCTTGGGATCAAATGGAATAACGGATATGAAGGGACTTGCAAACCTAGCCGGCTGTTGTCGTTGCTGCTGTTGTTTTTCCAGCACCAGCATTAAAACAGACTGTCATCTGTACGTGTGACCCAAGAACCGAAGGGGAAGAAGGGAAAAGTGACCTGAGGAAATTGGGTATAAATCACATTTTCATAAACAGAATTGTGTTTCCAGGGCCAAAAAGAAGCTTATGCTACTTAAAGGTATTCTGGAAGGGCCCAGATAGAGTTGGGGAGGGGGGACTTCCTTAACTAAAGCAGAGAATCCTTTGGAAAGTGAGTGATGTTTCTCCCAAGTCTCTGGTGGTAGAACGAGCACTGGTTGAAGTCAGACAGATCAGACTGATTTCACATCCTGATTCTACCACTTACACTGACTTTGGAAAGTCATTTCACCTCACTGGGCCTCAGTTTCTTTGTCTGTAAAATGGAGATGGTTGAGCTGGATGAACTCTAAGGTCTCTTTCAGCTCTAAGTCTATAGTGCTAATTGTAGATTTTCATCTGTCAAGTTTGCTGAGTATATAGGACCCCTCCTAATAGCAGCAGACATTTATAGAATGATTTAAAGATCACAGATCACATTTCATGCATTACCTCATTTGAGCTTCACAATGACCCTGTGGGGCAGTTGTTATATCCCCATTTTACAGATGAGGAATCTGAGGATAACTTGCCCCTGGTCCCACAGCCAGAAGATCAGTTGTCAGAGGCAAAATTCAAACTCAAAATTTGCTTGTTAGAAGTGGGATTCAAACTCTAAACTTGCTTGCGAAGGGGTGGGGTGGTAATTGAAACTCAGATTGTCCGCGCTCTTCAGTCCTATCAGTTCTATTTCTATCTGTTAATTCCACAGCAGTACTCTCTCTCTCTCTCTCTCTCTCTCTCTCTCTCTCTCTCTCTCTCTCTCTCTCTCTCTCTCTCTCTCTCTCTCGTCTCCCTCCCTCTCTTTCTCCCTTCTTCTCTCTCCCCCTTTCTCCCTTCCTTCTGTCCTTCCCCTCTTCTTTTCTTCTTACCTCTCCCATTTATCCTTTCTCTTCTTCCCTCCCTCCTTCTTTCCCCCTCCCTCCTTCCCTCCCTTCCTCTCTCCCTCACCCCTCTCTCTTCCTTACTCTTCCTTCCTTCTTTCTTCTCTCTCTCTCTCTCTCTCTCTCTCTCTCTCTCTCTCTCTCTCTCTCTCTCCATAAAGCTCAGTCCTGAACTCAATCAGGGCTCCCCATCCCCCCCAACCCCCTTTCAAGACCATTGTCCCCAGCCCTTATTCAAACACATTTAAAATTAGGTTGGGGCTTGACCAGCAAATTAACCAGCCCTTGAAAAGGGCCAGTACTTCTTGAGCTGTGTTGGTTGCTTGGGTGAACTACAAACCCCAGCTATGAACCGTGGGGGTTAAATGACTTCTGGCTGAGTTATTGGCCCTGGAGTCGGAGGCTGATACTGAGGCAACAGCGGGGGCAGACACGGAGACAGGGAGACGTCTTCTTCACCCCAGGCTGTCTGCAGTGTTTCTCTCCCTTGTTTTTCTTCTACTGCCCACAGATATGCACTGAGTAGGCCTGAATATTTTTGCAGTTATGAAGAAATTTTCTCCCTGGGTCAGAGGGAATTGAGGGAGTTTAATGGGGGATGGAGTGGGAAGCAGAAAATGTAAAGGGGAAGTAAGGGAGGCCACCTCTGAGGTGAAACAAAAGAAATCAAACAGAGAGAAGTGAAAAAAATTGAGAGCAAACAAAATGGATTTAAATTGGTCCTCTGGGGATTCTATAACTGGGAATAAAACCTTTCTCTACACACACACACACACACACACACACACACACACACACACACACACACACTACTGGAAGAGATCTCAGACCCTTCATTTTGCAGGGAAGAAAATTGAGGCCAAGAGCCATTAAGTGACTTGCCCAAGGTCACACAGGTAGTATCAAAGGTAGGATTTGAAGACCATGACATTACAGCTGCAGCTTTATCTCCTGGGAATTACTGCTTCCAGTATAGTCATGCTGATTTCCCTGTTATCTCTCATCTTGGCTATGCTCATTTCTTTCTTTGTCATCCCACCTTTGCTCATTGTCACCCCACCTGTCCCTTTATCCGGCCACCTCTACAAATCCTATTCTTCCTTCCAGACTCAGCTCAAGTCTCACATCCTTGGGAAAGCCTTATAAAACATCTCTTAGTGCATTTCTCTAACACATTAAGATCAACAAAGCCCTTTTCTCCCATTAGTCTTTTGAGGTAGATGGTTCACATGTCATCATCCCATTTGATAAATGAGGAAACTGAGGACCAGCAAGGTGAACTGGCTTGCCCACAGTCACTCTTTCCATTACATCATACTGATCACTCCAGCCCTCATTGGTCTTCCTTGTCTCTGAAATCCTGAAGACACTTAAGATACCCTTGAGTCTATACCAGACAACTCAGTCCTTCATCCAGTTTTGTTCATCATTGCTCTGGGTATGTCTTTCCTTCTTGTCTCCCCACCTAGATAGTCAAATCCTTGAGCCCAGGGACCCCTTCCAAAATTTCAGTATCACGCATAGCACCAAACATATGTTGAGTGAGTACAAAGCAGAAGCTCAAGAGGTAGCTACTGACTGATTTGAAAAGAATGTTT